TTTTTTTTTTACATCATTCTACCAAAATACAATTGAAGGAAGTGTCAGACAACGCACCCGAAAAAGGTAATAGTCTCGCTTGAAACCAACACAGATGGAGTTTCCACACCAGGCCATGGACTTTGGAATATCTGGAGCACCAAAGTCACCCTAGCAGACAAAAAGAACACACAAGACAGATAAATTTGTCAAAAGGACTGGAAAAAAACCACAGCATACATGACAGCGTGTTGACTCACACACCTGCAGCTCGTGAAAGTCCCTGTCCTTCCAGTAGTACAGCTGCAGTTTCTTCTTCACTGCCACACACATCCTCAGCGTTTCCTCTCCTGTAGACGTTTGCTGTGGCAGACAGAGAGAATATAAGCTGTACGACCCTCAGAAGTTCTGATTAAATGAGGCGGTAATCTGACTGTTACTACAGACACTACTAAAAAATGTACAAGAAGCTCCTGTGAATCTTGTCTGATCTGACCTTGGACTGACCTCTGAACTACAAACAGAGATTGTGTGAATGTTGATCAAGTGAAAGGCAGTAAACGGTTAAAATAATGCACAGCATGACAGGCTCTTTGTTCGTTGGAGACATCACCAATGACATAAGGTCATCACTGCACTGAAACTGACCTGCAGGTCACATGCAAACAGCGAGGCTCCTCGTGCTTTGGACAGCACAGTGATCTGCTGGAACGTGAGGAGGTCATGGACGTAGATGTTGTTCTCTGTGGGAGCCAATAGCAGACGTTAAATCTCTAGTGTTGTTCCAATTCAATCCATGTTCGCTGACAGGAAACGGAACTCACCCAGAAGGCTGACAAGGATTTTGTACTGAGGGACAACAAAAAGCTACAGAAGAAGAAGAAGAGACACAGTTTGATGAAGCACAAGCTGAACATCTCCACAGTCAGCATTCAGTGTGGTGTGCAAAAGCTCAACCAATCACACGGGGACTTTCACCACAGTTTGTTGGTAAATAAACATCACATGAAACATCTTTGGTATTTTAGGTTGGCACCAGGTCTGGATGTTAACGTTGGTGTGACTCACAGAGGGAGGGGCTTGGTGTGGCAGTGAAGAGGAAGTGTCAGACTAATACTGACAACAGACTGACAGATCTGCAGTGTCACTGGCAACTCTGCTCAGCAGCACAGACACAGCAGACTGCCCTTAGACAAGTTGGCAAAGAAATATAATTTACGTAAAAATAAGGCCTGTCAGAGTTAATGCATAATTAAATATTATTAAAATACAAAATTAAAATTGTGTTGCTCTAATATGCACTGTATATTACACTATTATTTGCACACACTGTGGA